GACAACATCAAATACAACATCAACATCATCAGCAGCTGTTTCAACAGCACAGCCATCTACTAGCCCAGCAAGTTCAACATCAGTGGTGACAACATCAAATACAACATCAACATCATCAGCAGCTGTTTCAACAGCACAGCCATCTACTAGCCCAGCAAGTTCAACATCAGTAGTGACAACATCAAATACAACATCAACACCATCAGCAGCTGTTTCAACAGTACAGCCATCTACTAGCCCAGCAAGTTCAACATCAGTGGTGACATCAAATACAACATCAACATCATCAGCAGCTGTTTCAACAGCACAGGCATCCACTATCCCACCAAGTTCAACATCAGTAGTGGCAACATCAAATACAACATCAACACCATCAACATCTGTTTCAACAACACAGACATCAACTAGCCCTTCAAGTTCAACATCAGTAGTGACAACATCAAATACAACATCAACACCATCAGCAGCTATTTCAACAGCACAGACATCAACTAGCACCGCAAGTTCAACATCAGTAGTAGCAACATCAAATACAACATCAACATCATCAACATCTGTTTCAACAGCACAGACATCAACTAGCCCAGCAAGTTCAACATCAGTAGTGGCAACATCAAATACAACATCAACACCATCAGCAGCTGTTTCAATAGCACAGACATCCACTAGCCCAGCAAGTTCAACATCAGTAGTGGCAACATCAAATACAACATCAACATCATCAACATCTGTTTCAACAGCACAGACATCAACTAGCCCAGCAAGTTCAACATCAGTAGTGGCAACATCAAATACAACATCAACACCATCAGCAGCTGTTTCAACAGCACAGACATCCACTAGCCCAGCAAGTTCAACATCAGTAGTGGCAACATCAAATACAACATCATCAGCAGCTGTTTCAACAGCACAGACATCTACTAGCCCAGCAAGTTCAACATCAGTAGTGGCAACATCAAATACAACATCAACACCATCGACATCTGTTTCAACAGTGCAGACATCAACACCACCATTGACAGCATCCACAGCAAGTTATTTAGGTCCGATAATCCTTAGCTCGCCAATTTCACCATCACTGACATCTGCAATATCCACATCAAGTTCTGTAGGTCAGACAATCATTAACCCGACAATTTCACCATTAGCATCAACACCAATTTCACCATCATCTCCATTGATACTATCTACAGCAAATTCTATAGAATCATCATCGATTAGTTCTACGTCACGAGTAGAAGTAACACAACCATTGCCTTTCATCTCGTCTACCATCAGCAGCACAGCATCGCATCTTTTGAGCGCTTCGCCGTCTCCTGCAATACGTTCAACATCTGAGAGCCCAACATTGTCCCCCTCACAACGACAAACCGCATCGCCAACTGCAAGCGCCATCGGGTCCCTGTCGCCAGCAGCATTCACCAGCACGGGCGGCTTGTCGCCGTCATTTATGCCAACCCATTCAGCCATCAGCAACATATCGGTGTCACAGACAATTCCGCAATCTCTTTCTTCAGCAAGCTCCGTTGTAATGACGACATCCAAACAAATGTCATCGTCTGGAATAATACAACCAACAACTGTCACACAAACGCCTGTCTCTACAGTTATAGTTCAACCACCAATCCCTCCTGTGCCGTATATCAACTACGTCATTGTATTCGCAATTATGAACAGAGACTTCAATGACAAATTCAATGACAAGAATTCTCAAGAGTATCAAGAAATTTCTGTCATCATCATTACTGAGGTAAGAATTACACCATTTGCAAATGCTATGATATACGGTTTTCCACATGCTTTTTTATATGAATGGATGTATAAATCATAATACGGGTTTTTTGGGTTAGATCGTGTAAATATATAAATGTAAAAGTTGTGGCTTTGCTCTTCAACACACCGGTGTGCTGATAAGTAAGGAATTGGCACGTTCTGTTTACGTGACAACCCTTACTCGGTGGCTGTGTCGTGCGGTGGCGGGTTTAACGACACATTTATATATTTACACGATCTAACAAAAAAAAACCTATGTAAGGGATGATATTGGTTGCGAAATATTGTGTTAAATTCTAAATTTAATTGCTTTTTGGAGATTTTATATTTACGTGCAGTTTTGAATCGTGAATGGGTTACTATGCAAGGGCATAGTGCACAATTTGAGTGGTATCACTTTTCCAGCTAAGAGCTGTTACCAAGATAAAGCGTGTCTGGAACATGACCTTCATGCCTGGGGTAGACTCAATATTCTTTATCCCAATGGATTGGTTAAAGAGTGCCACTTTATAGAAAGCCAACAGTGGGTGTCCTATGGATAGACCGGTCCCTGCCATATGAATATGGGATTTACACTGCTGGAACAGGGTCTCCAGTGGATATGAACACCGCCCGGGTTTCATGAAATCACTTTGTTGGGACATCACGAGTTGAGTTAAACACTCTACTCACATTCGTAAAGAGTCAAATATTTACGATTTTAATATTGTTTATAATTATTTCATGATGTGTTATTCTTCACGCTTTTAACATTGAATTAAGCATACAGCGTCAACTTAAAGCAAGTGTTGCGTGGTATGTGCTCACACACTGTAATAATGCTCTTGTTTTCTTTAGCTTGATCACATATTTAGGGCCAAGTATGGTGCGAGGTTTCTGAAGACCAATGTGAAACAAATGAGGTACACTTTTCATTTTCCAATTTCCCTAAATGTGATGGAAGTGTCAACATGTATGGACATGTTGACAGAGCAGTGGTGTAGCCGGAGAGCGTGCAGGAGGCGCAATTGTAGCACACAGAGGGATGTTTGGCAAGGAGAGGGCCCGTGGCAACCACGCTGCGCCACTTTCATCAATCATGAACATCTAAGCACTGTATTTTCTAAATTTTGACTTAAAACTTTGGTGACTGCAGCAATTCATATTCTTGATTCTTTCAGTAAAGGCACGTAGATAGAAAAATAAGAATAAAAATAAAGTGAATAAAAATAATAATAAACACTAATGTAGATTGTAGCTTGGTTCTTAATCTGAGTGTACTGGCCGTTTATAATGTAGACTGGAGCCTGGGGTTTAAGCTAGTGAGCGTATTGGCAGTCTATAATGTAGACTGCAGCAATGGTTATTAAATTGAGTGCTACGGCATTCTATAATGCACATTATGTATAATGTACATTATAGACTGCCATAACGCTCACTCAGTTTTTAATGTCTGTAATGTACAACATATACTGCCATAACGCTCACTCAGTTTATAATGTCTGTAATGTATATTATAGACTGCCATAGCACTCACTCAGTTTTTAATGTCTGTAATGTACAACATAGACTGCCATAACGCTCACTCAGTTTATAATGTCTGTAATGTATATTATAGACTGCCATAGCACTCACTCAGTTTTTAATGTCTGTAATGTACAACATAGACTGCCGTAGCACTCACTCAGTTTATAATGTCTGTAATGTACAACATAGACTGCCATAGCACTCACTCAGTTTATAATGTCTGTAATGTACAACATAGACTGCCGTAGCACTCACTCAGTTTATAATGTCTGTAATGTACAACATAGACTGCCGTAGCACTCACTCAGTTTATAATGTCTATAATGTCTACAATGTATATCATAGACTCACTCAAGAGGCCTCGGTCATGGTAGACTCGTGAGCGCCATCAAAGAATGGATTTCCACCGTGGCCCGGCCAAAACTATCCAAAAATGTCGGAAATCGTAGATCCACTGTGGCCTTTAAAGGGAAATTATATAAGAGGCTATGGGCCCTTTTACTAGAACAGAGAGCATGGCGAAAGCTCGAAAATGTTTCAACACGAAGCCCACCCCAGAATAATCGCACTTGTTCCACAAGTAGTGCCTGTGGGAGCTGACGTGTAAGATACATCGTGTTCTCTCGTGTTCTCTCTTGTTCTGTCTTCGTGCAGAAAAGGGTCCATCATGGTGGATGCCGAAGCGGAGTTTGTGAAGGAGAATGCTCCACCAGGACAGGAGGTTTTCGAAACGTTATTTTCAAAGCTAGATCCGAACACCACCATTCCAAACTCCGATTTGCGCCTGTCGCCCACCTCTATAAATGTTGATGGTAAATATTCATTCAGTTGTATTTGACATTCTGCACAGTAATGAATGGTAAACTCTCTTTGCTGCCGTGTACGATGGATCTCAAAAAGGGTGTTCACACAATTGCATTGTGTACCAGTTTCAGACTGTAGTCTTAATGCATTACAAGTTCATAAAACTTACATCCGTACAGCTTGTGAGCACAATGTATTCTCCTCTAGAAACTGTGTAAGCTAATACTTATCTTATCTCCAAATCCACACGAGATTTAAGACAATAAAGCCTCATAACGTTAGGAGAGCTCTTACATGAGTAGTCGCGATGCTTACCGCTCGTAAGTAAATTTTCAAAGTAAAAGTGAACCGTTAACTGATATAATTACACAATTGTGGACGCAATGTAACATAATTATATTAACGTATACGATCACAGCCGAACCTGCTGAAATGCACAAAACGGGGACATCATGGGTGACCTGCCCCTACTGGACATCTGTTAAACAAAAAGAGCTTCATAGCTCATCGGATTCCTCCATTCTCGTTCTGACTTCACTGCAGTCGCGTTGGATCCGAGTCGTGTACCTGGACGTTGATTGGCTGGGGTGGGCATCGAGAACGATGACGTAGTCCCTAGCAACGGAGGGGCATCGAGAACAATGACGTAGCCCCTAGCAACGGGGGGGCATCGAGAACATTGACGTATTTTCCTTAGCAACGGGGGAGGCATCGACAACGATGACGTAGTCCCTAGAAACGGGGGCATCAAGAACGATGATGTAGTCCCTAGCAACGGGGGGATAGAGAACGATGACGTAGTCCCTAGCAACGGGGGGATAGAGAACGATGACGTAGTCCCTAGCAACGGGGGGATAGAGAACGATGACGTAGTCCCTAGCAACGGGGGGATAGAGAACGATGACGTAGTCCCTAGCAACGGCTGCTGCCAGGCCCAGAGTGGTGCAATCGCACTCAGGGTGCCAGGGGCATCTCCGGATCTCCTCTAACTTGTGACGGTTTTTGTTTAATCTCTTTGAACATTTCCGATTATACTACAATCGCTGGCAGACTTGTTTTTTGTGCAATTGTAGTAAGGTCCGAAATGCTTGTAAGGAAAACAAATCGATCAAATTGATAAATTGACAAATAAAATGTTGCCCATATCGTTGTGTCCTGAGGCCCCATTACTTTAATGTTGTTTTGTGCGTAAATTAAATCCATTACATTACAAGACAAAACGTGTAATGTCATCGCTGTCTGTGAATATGAAACATGTTGTACTGCACGTGTGACGTGCTACAATATGGTGCTGTACTTACGCATTCTATCGCCTTTCTCGTTTCAGTTTACAATATAACAGATTTGCCACCGCAGTATATGAATTTCAATTTCGTGACGCTGAACAAGAAGTACAGCGCCAACCTCAGCGACACCAACTCTTCTAGTTACATCGCCCTGAACGGCGCCTACACCAGCGAGGTATGAACGCCAACTCGCTGAGCTCAGGCGAACGTTTTTGATTTGCTTTACTTTCATGTTACAATCTTGATTTGAGGTTTTCGTCACACACGCATGTGGGTTATTCTCCATGCGGGCCCAGTGCACGCTGCTCCTTGAACGCCACTTCATGGCACATTCCTGAACTGACGTGCTCCAATGAACGTTGTTTTTGTCTTGCAGCTGACGAAGATTTTAAGCCAAAAATATCCAAATACTTTTGTGGGAATCACGAACACCTTCAGGTAATTATGTCAATAATTATATTCGATATACCTTGGCTTACATCCATGAATCTACGACGCAAACATCCGCGTGGTGACATTGTAACGTCTGCCCTGTTGCGTTCCAGGAATGAGAATGGGATGGTGGCCGTGCAGTCGAATGCCTCCTTCTACACCGTCACCTCCGTCGTTCCATCCGACGTTTTTGAACTCATAAAGAATGACTTAGATACATCCTCTACACTGAAGAACACGGATATTATTGTAAACTCAACATCGATCACAATAGACGGTAAGCATCGCAACCGACACGGTGTAGAAACGCGCACCCTCTATGTATTATAAGTGTGTAAACGTTCATGGAATATGTGTGTGTGTGTAAACATTGTCTACGGATGATAACCGTACCATATCTAACTTTTTTAGGGACAAGACCGTACAAACCCGTGGCGATCTCATTTGAGGTCATCAACAAAGGTTTCACGGATTCACTGCAGAACAGAACCAGCAAGGACTACGCTGACCTGAACGCGCTCGTTTCCGCAGAGGTCGGTCGCTTTCTCTGGCTTGTGCCGCACGTGCCGTGTGACCACGAGATTGAGAAAACGGATTTTGTGTGTAGAATTTTGATGCGTTTGCGTGCGTGTTGCAGATATGTGTGTGAGTGCAGATGCACTCTTACGAATACGTGTGAGACATCGCAATAGGAAATGCATGTTCAGAGACAACGCTCCCCCGTATAGCCTTGATAACAGACTTCTGGGACAAGTGTGCGTAGCGGGCGTGGTGCTGGGCACCCACCACCCACCTCGTGTGCATTGCCAGGCCTTCATAGGTGCTACTCGCTAATGTGCACGTTGACACACATCATATAGAAGCTACCTGAGCTCATGGGCGACTTTCATGATTGTGATGACATTGTCAAGCTGCGTCGTCCTGCCAATTCTCCGTATTGTTGTCAGCAACGAGTGCACGACCATACATTTTCGAGACATGAATCAGAACCAGCTATGTAATTACACATACAACGCGACGACCATGACCCCCAATCAACTTGAGCTAACTGTTTAAGCCAATGTTTGAACTTCTCTGTTGTTGGGAGAGAGAACTGGGAGTGCCCCTGCTATTACATTTCCAGCTGTCAACATTCAGGAGGCCCACGTGCTTTAGGATGCCTCGAGGGAATAGGAGACACACCACAAGCACTATGTGCATGTATACACACGTATACACAGGTCAAATGTTTACGTGCCCACATACAACACAAATGAATTTTTTTCGCTAATAAGTGACCAATTGTTTAAATTTGTCATTAAAATGTATTCTCCACCCCCCCCCTTATTAAATTACAGATTAGGAAAGTCCTCCTGACGAAGTACAACAGCTCCGATCTCCTGTTTGTCAGCACCTCCTTCACGTGAGCATTGCAACTTCCCGTCACTGTGCAACTTCGTGTTACATTTACACAAAACGTGGCCAAGTGTGAGCTGCGAAAGCGCGTTCTCTCAGCACTTGAGAAACTGTCCCAGCATATACGCGTATACGTTATATCAAGAGCAACACGAACTGCAATGTATTTTCAGGAATGAAAACGGCCGCTTGAAAGTGAACACTGATGCCATCTTCAAGGAAAACTCAGCGATCGTAGCGTCCGATGTCATGACGCTCCTGTTCCAGGACACTAATGTCGCGACCTTGGAGCTGGGCGCCACCGGGTTGGTCGTGGATGAACAGACCTACCAGGTGGATGGTAAGCGGAAATGTCGCAATATATTACTCCGCTGTATTCTTATATAAACGTAATTTATATAGCGCTTGAACCAAGGCGCTTTACAGAAAATTAACACCGATACGACGACGTCTGCGTGAATGTAACGGTTGAGATGAGGTGAATGAAATAGATGGGAGGAAGCAATGGGGGGGGGGGGGAAATCTGTGATGCGTGAATTCGGTGAAAGCGAAATTGGTGACGGTAAATGATGATGAATGGATTGAATGAATGGGGAATGAGTGACAGCCATATAATGAGACTATGACGAGGTGGTGGTTATGACATTAAGGGGTCGTGGAGTGAACGAGGGGTAACAATAAGTGAGTTGAGAGCGGACACTAATGAGCAAAGGTGGCGGTGTGATGTGGAGGGAACGTTTGTTCCAGTGAAGGGGGGCGAGAAGAGAAAACGAGCGAAAGCGTGACGCGAGGCCTTATCCTTCTCAGTTTTGATCATCTAATTTACATATTACTCCACACTGCTAGACAAGCTCTTGCAATTCTTAACAAGAATTGCGACAGTATCTTTGTAGCCTTCAGATACTCCAGTCTGTAGCATGCAGTAGTCTGTCCGGAGAATAGTTTTTAGAATAAAAATAGCAGTTTTTTTTATTTTAAGCGTTGGAACGTGTAAACTTGGAGTATGGATAATACAAATTGCATTCTGTTTGACTTTAGGTACCAAGCCTTACACAACCAAAGAGATATCATTTGATATCACCAACAAAGACTTCACATCCAGCTTGAAGGACAAAACCAGCAAGAATTATACCGACCTCAACGGCGTCGTTTCCAAAGAGGTCAGTAAGTCTACCGCAATGCAAGCAGTGAACAGGACACGTGTGGCCACTGCGTTGGTGTGCGTATGCATGAATGTTGAACTTGTTTCGCACCCTACGTAGCCAACCGTGCAAATCGTAGGTGCGGTTCTGTATTGGAGTGTTCCCAGCATTCTCCTGTCCGTGAACATTTGTGGGTAACTTGTTGACGAGTGTGTTGTTCTTCTCGTTCACAGATTACAAGAATTATTGCCCAACAGTACAAAAACTCCAATCTGCAATTTGTCAGCGTCTCCTTCACGTAAGCATTGCCTCATCGCTTGACAAGCACATTACGGTTCTGAAAAATGTCTTGTTCTATCATCGTGAGCAATAGCTACAATGTTACTAATTATGTAAACTGTATTTCCAGGAATGAAAGTGGCCACGTGAAGGTCAATGCCAATGTAATCTCAAAAGACAATGTCAACATTAAAGATAATGATATCTTGATGCTTTTGGTCAAGGACATTAACACCTCCATGTTACTCGGCTCCACTGGCTTGGTCGTGGATGAACGGACCGTCGCTGTGGCCGGTAAGCGGAGGTTGTCGCAACGCTTCCATTCGCAAAAAAATCACTCCGCTCTCGGAGACGTCCTTCTTGAATGGTGGCTCTTCTTTTTCCACAAAAAATCATACCAAGATTCTCAAAACAAAGCATTCATTTCTTCAACGTGAAATAACTTTGTAGCCTTGAGTTGCGGGTGAAGATGCCGTTTTCCTGTTAATCGGTGATGACACATTGCCTGCAGTCGCTAATAAAGGGGCAGGCTCTGCAGAGGGAACAGTTTCCTAGCTCGACACGTCGTAGGCGGCTTCTGCTTGGCTTCGCGAGCGCACTGCACTGACACTGCCTGGGATATTTTGTTCAACCCATGATAGCTTTGCCTCAGCCTTACCGAGACCACCAGCTTAAAGGAACTGAATGTGGAGCCACTTTATCATCTAGACCACCAAGTCAATGACTTGAGAAAATGTGGCCCCTCCCAACACGCACCATGATGTTTAGCTCCGCCGTTTCACTCCTGAGAAAGTGTGCTGTTTTATCGGTCTTTGTTTCTGACTTCTATAGTAAAATTCAAAGCATATAATTCAGTATGTCGTAGTAATTGGCACATTGTACATTTCCAAAGCTTTGTTTGATGTAAATTCAGAAAGAGCCTGCTTATGTCACAGTTTAAATAGTTTAAACAAAGTATTTACGTGTTATCTAATGATATCTCTGTCATTTCACTTCTGCAGGTGTCCACGCTATCTTTCAGGAAATGAACGTAACCATGAGAATAATCAACTTCGACTACAATGATGAGCTCCTCGACGTTCAAAGTTTATATTATAAATCTCTATCAAGAAAAATAATTGATGGGGTAAGCAGATATGTCTTGGTGTGGTGCTTGTGATCAATGATTTGTGGTTTTGTACGCCAGCTAAAATAAGAAGTCTTTTTTAAGTTAGATAACATTTTTAAATGCAGCTTTGCAAGTTTAGTGTAAAAGTTAGACTGCATAGTTTAGTTGGCTCCTTCATTGGGCCACCACTGCCTTGATCCTGGTGAAGAATGTTGGGGGCCATGTAGGCCTTGTAATAAGCTCTACGGGAGGAGGGGTTTCTCTCATAACCGGTAACCCCAAAGTAGAAACCAGTAAAACACAGGTTGCCGGTTTGTCGCACATCCATTGATGCACAACAATAAAAAAAATGCACAACCACGAGTGCTTGCGTGTTATGTTTGTCATCCGATATGTGGTGTATTGGCTCGCACACTTTAGCTTGCAGACCAGGGGTAGTGGTTTCAACTCAAGTCTCCTGACGAGGCATTTGAAACAATGGGGCAGGTTAAACGCCCCCGCCGCTCTCTATCAAGCAGTACAATAATGGGCACTCCACAGTTAGTCCATTGGCATGTTTGGCGTGGTGGGATCATTTGTGGGTACGCGCACCTCTTCCAACAAGTTTGGCCAGCGTGGAACAATAGAACAGATATCACGATAGGGCTGCTTCGAGTGGACGCCCTTCTGCCAGGAAGTCAGCAATTACAGGGCTGCACATTTTCCTTAACTGAGCAAGGCTGATACTCAATTTGGTTGTCATTGGGGCAGGCGCCGTAAGATGGCTGCCGCTGACCAATCAGAGTTGCGAGCGCCGTGCCATTTTTTTCATCTGCACGTGCCAATTGGTGCATTCATAATGCATCACATTTCACAGGAAATGGTTTACGGTTCCTACATCTTGAAACCAATCATCGGTTACTGTCATTTAACAACTGAACCCATAGCAGACAAAGAGAGGCGAGACAAAATGTGCTTTCCTGGCCGTCCCACACTGACCAGTGGCGTGATTAATAGTCACATGACAACCCCCAATGCTGGTGACAGCAGAGCGTGGCTGATAATGATGATGACGATGAATATAGTCGGTCACCTTATATTTACTTTACAAATACATTTCACGATTTACTCTGCACCAATATGTGCTCGTGATTGAGATAAAATTTTGCTTCAAATCTGAATAAAAAAATTTTAAACTCATTTACAAATTCTAAATTTACCCATTCACAAAATAGACAACTCTATCGGAGTAAGCTCTTACCTGGTTAAATAAAGTATGGTCAATATGTCTTTGTGTGAATAATATAACATATCATCCTTTTCATGTCTTTCTTTTTACCATTCAGCTTGGAAAAATTGTTTCAGGTCAATATGCTGACACTTTTCGAAGGGTCTCCATTGCAAAATATTCGTGAGTATTTTAGTATTTTTCCTGTTTAAACATCATTGCGAGTATTGTTAATAAAAATGTGCCACGCGCTGCTTTATCTGCGGGAAACAATGTACGATTCATTGATGCGTAGATTCAAATCTATTTTAAAGCTCACAACTCTATTGCATCGTGCGGCCATGGGACGATTCATGAAAATGATATACTGCAGTACTTTTGGAAAAAATAAAATAAAAAGTGCAAGCAAGACAGAACACACGAGATAGACAATACTGATGAGGCAATATTAATGAGAGAAAAAAATCATCGATTCTCAAATCAAGTCATAGCCTTGAACTATGATGGTATTATGCATCTCACGGGGGGTGAATCGTCGCATGTCTACTGGGCAGAGAATCTACAATTCCCCCGGCGAATTATGGGAAAACATTCCGTAAAATGGCTTCTGGAAAGGAGTTAGCCACACTTGAGGATGTTTCCTCCTGATCCGTGTCTCGGCGACTGCTGCTGCCGCATCGTGACGTGGAGAGCAAATACACTTTGACTTCACTCATCGACACTTCACAACTCAGTTAATGATACATGGGTCACGCCCTGTAGAAGATACGTGTCTAAATTCTGATCGCGACAGTTTATTTGTCTGTGTTAAAATATCACGTGAAGTAAATGCGAAAATGTTTCACGTGTGCAAATATAATTGTTGTTAATCTTTTATTTTAGGAAAGGATCGGTGATTGCCAAGTCAACCGTCCAGTTTTTGATGACGGCGCCCACAGATATGAATTTGCTGACATCTGTCCTGAACAACGTGGACTCCAGCAGCTTTCTGAAAGACACAAACCTGCAACTGGATCGGCAGTCCATCATCGTTAATGGCACACAAGGTTGTTGTCCATTCACTTGATTATTGTTGTTGTTCTTTTAGGTAAAGTGTGTACTCTCCACTGCCAGTTCTGCATATGATTTACGCATTTATGAAACGGCTCATGGGTCTATTGCATGGCTATGCAGTTGTGATGTGTTAAGAGAGGTCTCAGTCTCACAGCAGACCTTGATCAGATGCGCGATTAAAATAATTAAAATTTCACTGTGCACACGTTTTGTATCACCAATAAAATGCAACGTTCCCTTTGATGGTTTTAAAAACGGGTAAACGGAGTATTGCCCTTTACTGCAGAGTTCACTGTTTTGAAATGTTTAATATAAATGAACAGCATGTGATGTGCGAGGGGGAATGGTATGGAAGCTGTTCGCTTGCTGCGATAACATCCCAGCTTAGCTTGGGTCTTCTCAAACGAGTGCCTAGTGCGGGATATGTCAGCATTGACAACGGAGACAAATACAGTGAGGCATACATGGTGCTGTCCACACCACCACCTCATAGGCAATACCAGTCCTAATCGGTGCTTGCTAATAGCACTTCAAGCATTGTGTGAACACTCGTTTATTGGCTGATAACACCTTCATATATTTGGTGCCTGATTAACGCATTGGTCCCTTTGCTATTCATTTGGGGTTCCTCCTCCTCATGTCTCCGAGTCGTTCTCTCTCTTTTCGAGAGCGAGCGAATACTGTGCGATAGTGGCGGCGGGTTACAAGTTGAGGCGATAACACTAACTGTGGATTGTGTGTGTGTGTGAGACAGTGCCAAGCTCATCATCTTCAGCTGTATGCAACCCTTCCTTCATGCGCTGCCAGTCGGTGCCTCCCTACGGCATCGCAATCATCGTCATGGGCATCCTGCTATTGCCCCTGATCGCCATCCTTGCTGTGCTGGTGCGTCTCACTCACTATCACGACATGCTTGCAACGTCACCATTGTGTTCGGGGGATTGTCACTTATTTGATGCCACTTGAGTACTCGGTCTTGCTGCGAGGCAATCAAATGTTGGTGAAAAGTTTCAGTCAGTGGAGAGCGTCGCATCAAACGTGAGGCAGGTGCTGAGAGGTGACACCACAAACTATTGTGGAGTCGCTTCAAAATACATCTTGCATACAATACTTCTCTGTAGAGAGTGGTTTTTTTCCCGTCAGGAATCTATTGTATAGAATTGAATAACAAAAAATATCATAATGACATTTTGATGTGGGCAATGATGGCTGGGCGAAGACCATCAATATGCTGCACTGAGGACCTGGTTTAATCAATGGCGGATGAAACCCGGACTCAAACTTCGGTTCTGAACAGTGTCGGCTAAGTGCTCTGACCCAGCCACTCATCCACCTTCCAATGCCTGCGTCCGAACTACATGACACATCACTTTACTGGTGCACGTCAAGTAATCACAATGCGATCATTAGTGATATTTGTCCATGGCATGAACCTATCCATTTCATGATCTCCAACATCTAGGCAGGCCCATCATATTGTGTCCATCATGCACAGCGCAGTTGTACCCAGGTCACTTTGTAAATGAAACTATCCTGGTCTCTTGAGTTCTCACCTGGTTAAACACATACTACACTTGAATGAAACTTGTCACACCCACAACCACGTGTAAATCACAACATTATGTGTGGCTATGGTGATAGATGACCACCAACGCTAAAATCAATGTGAGAGTTGAATTACAAAGAAACGTCTCTGGAATTAAACATTTTCTGTTTGTTTATTTGCAGTGGAAGAAGGGAGTTCTACATTGTCCAAGACTTGGAAAATCCAACATTTACAAGATATCCTCGAATAAATTTGACAGACTGCCATCTTACCAGGTACGCAGTAACGACACATTGAAAGTTATTTTATTACAGAAAATACATTTTTACTGTGGCAGCCACATTCAAGAAACCAATGTTGGCTTTCAGTAGAAAACATCGATCTGCAAAGCCCCGTACTTTGATGTAGTACATGTTTATTATAGCGATTAGACGTACCCTTGTTACTGTACTGTAATAGGTAAGTCCGCAGCAATATTTAAGATTTTTACGAATAAAATTGTTGAAGTTTTATTTTTGACCCCAAGTCATTTGTGGATAAAGACCACTGTCGATAAATCTTCCAGCAGGCTGGAGGGTTGCCAGAGCACAAGGCGGTGGTTTAACCGCTGCATGCATTTGTTTTGTGATCTCGCAATGTTTCAGCCATCTCGAACCAGGCGTTTTCATTCCCCTCCCAGCAGAAATGTAATTGTTTTCACGTAAATACTGCAAATAAAAGCAAGACAATAATATAACGTACGTTTTGACTTCCCCTTGGAGTTATCCGATTAACCCTGCCAGCACACGTGTTAAACCCATCTTCATTTCGGACAAAGTCACTGTGTAACACCTATTTTATTTTATTTCCCAGATACCGTCATACAAACCCACTTCATTCTACGGGGCTTGACAAGTTACCAAGCTGGAGTGTCTTTGCACAGAATCATAACAATTAATTTCAAATACGACGGGGCATACACAACCACGTACAATCACATACACTGCCACGCATACACACACACTAACATGCACACACACAGCCACACACACACACTGCCACACACATACACACTGCCACGCACACACACACACACTACCACACACACTGCCACACACACACACTGCCACGCACACACACTGCCACACACACACTGCAACACACACACTGCCATGCACACACACACACTGCCACACACACACACTGTAACGCACACATACACTTCCACACACACACTGCCACGCACACACGCACACACTGCCACACACACACACACTGCTACACACACACTGTAACGCACACATACACTGCCACACACACACTGCCACGCACACACGCACACACTGCCACACACACACACACTGCCACACACACACACTGCCACACACACATACACACTGCCACACACACACTGTAACGCACGGGCACACGCCGCAACAGCAACAATCGCCGTTCGCCACTGTGACATCACCACGCTGATTGTGCCAGGCTAGGTGCATCTTGAGACCACGTGAAGTGTGGAAGGCTCGCTGCTGGCAGGAGGTCACGGTACAGACCCAGGTGTTACGGGATGACTGACCGTGATGACTTGCAGATACACAGCCTGTGCTGCCTACTGTGCGACACTGCACACAAACTCGTGTGTGTGTGTGTGTGCCTGTACTGATACGAAGCACACACTCAACACTGTCACCCACATTTTTAAGTTCTGGCCATAATAAATGCTGTAAGTAAAAACATGTCTGCGTGCGACATTAATCATTGATAATTATCTTTTAAAGCGGACAAATCTAACTGATATTACACTGGGTTGTATGTATGTAACGCATTTATATAAAACTCTCAGTTCAAACTTGCAGGATATTTTCCTCCAAATGCTTTAAAAATCTGTTTAAAACGAAAATTTGAAATGTCACGAACATGTATTTTCTTTTTCAATGTTCTGTTAAAATATCGCACCTTGAGGGTAGATTGAGACACGCGTAGCGACCACTCGGTGACGCACACACAGACGTCTCAGCATGCAGAGGGATCACTTTGTCAGCTTTAATACAACCCCCCAACAGTGCCTGTTATAGCCAATACATCATTTGAGAAAAAAGCACATTTGGTTTGAAAAAGAATACGGCGTTAAAGTCGGACCTGTCAAGACACCCCGCGTGTGCCACAAAGGGCCACTCGGGGCTCCGCGCTGCATTGCACCGGTGGTCACTGATAGTATTTAGATACCATTCAGTTGCTTTTTGGTTCTTTCGGTAAAGTCACGTATAAAGATAAAATAATAAATTAAATAATATTATTTTTATTATTTATTTTATCTTTAGACGTGACTTTACCGAAAGAACCAAAGAATAATTCCTGCAGTCACGAAAGCTCCAAATTAAGATTGAACCATTCAGTTGATTTCCCGTTACGAGGGTAATAAGGGACTGCGCAATCAGAATGAAATGTGCCGATGTTTGGACCGTAGTGAGAGTTGGAGGCAATCACCCAACAGTCGCACTCTGGCAGGAGTTTACTTGAGAAGGGAACTTCAAGTGCAGTGAGATTCCAGCCCCGTGTTGTTTCTGCTTTTCATCCGAAATAAATACCACAACGAGGGCACATTGTGAACTGTATCATTAAGGCCACGTGTAAACATTCTCAATAATATTAGAATGTCCGCAGATGCGAAGAACGTATATTTTTGTATTAAATGCTGTATGTTGCCACAGTATATGTTGCTAGTCACCGCATATCCATGTCTTCTTTGTTGGTCATTCAGGAATGTTGAAGTAAATCTTTACCTCTTTGTCAGTGGCTGTAGCCCATAAATCGCATGCTGCACTTTAATTTACTCACGTAAACATTGGCATATGCAAATAAAAAATAATGTTATGTATTAGCCTATGTAATGTCCAGTAGAACGTATTGTTGCAAGAACGGTACGCGTGGTAATAACTAGTTACTCGTTTTCTGTTTACAATAGCAATGGTAATGCCTTATTTATGACATCATGTAGATACTGTTTGCACTAAAATTATTGTATATTTGTTGGAAGATATTTGCCATGGAAAAGTATGTAACATGCCGCCGGTGTGTGTAAGACTTTCGACCTTGTAATATTTTAATGATTGCCAATATATGTAAGTGATATAACTACAAATACATATTTTAAATATTACATCTTGTGATGAAATTCTTAACCGTGTGATGGCAAAGGAACAAGATCCCGGGGCAGTCCTCAATGGAAGTTTTTGTTTATTTCACGCGGATTTTAATGTTCTGCGGTGACCATGCACACGAGTCACGTGCCCTGTGCACCACCGCTCCCACCACTCGGTAGGGGGATTGCAGCCGACGTAGCAGTCCATTCGTGCCGTTGCCGGGGCTGCCTCTCACTAAACCTCAGGCCCACTGGGTGGGCTACGGTCGCTTTACGCGACTCCCCTCCGTGCCGCCACCGTGGCAGAAACCCATGACGATCCCACCGGAGCCCGGGTCTGCCACCTCCACCTACAAAACAGCAACCTATGAGTGTGTGCTCCATGCAGCCCATACACACAAAACAGCATTTCCCACCAAGTGGCGGTGACGTCCCTACATTGTTTCATCCAGACTTCGTGCATTTTGAGGCCGTCATGTAAGTGCCAAGAGGCCCTGGGAGATGCACCACCACCCGTGCTCTACCCCCTATCAACTTGCTGTGTTGGCACTGTGGAGAGCACACAGCCAAACAGTGACACAGATACACACACAAGGCAAACTCACACACAAGCAGACACAGACAACAACTATTACCGTAAAATTGTTTTTATTTTACCAGGTAAATTTCACTATACAGCTGTTTTTCAGAAGCGAACTGGCCACAAATGATAGCTCAACAAATTGGCTTATCAAGTGGACATTTAAAGCAGCCAAATACTCTAAACGCGTGTTCTAAACGTGGAGGGGAAAACCGGAAAACCCGGAGAAAAATACACTCGATCACGGGGAGAGAGACACGCAAACTCCAAATATACAGCAGCATGCATCAGGGTCGGGATCGAACCCACGACCTCCTGTATACCAGGTGAGGTAGTTAACATTTCACCACCGCACCAGCACATAACCACACACATACTCAGACACACATAGCCACATGTATAGGTACACAGTAACACTCACAACCACATACATAAACATGCAGGCACAATCACAAAAACAATGAATCGCCCTTATAGCGTCTATGAAGGCCGGCACGGCACACGAGGGGGTGAAGCGGCCAGCACCACGCCCGGCCGCCTTTGTATCCCCAGTGGTGATGTTTACACTCCGCCCGAGGTACTAATTTAAGGCGAGTCGTGCAGTGTGCTAGCCACTGCGCCACCGCTCCCACACACGCATAGCCACGTCCACCCACACGGAGTGACGCAGGCACAAAGACAAAGACACGCACACACAACCCCACACAACTATACACAGACACACCCATTTAAACACACTGAGAACAACCACACACAACACAGACCCCCTATATAGAGAGCCTTGAACAGTGTTGTTAGCAACCATGCACATAAGCAAAGGGTGCGAAAGAAGTTACACAAGCATACACATCGAGAAAAAGACAACAATTCGCGTATCGCCTTGAACAGACCATCGGGGAAAGTGCTGTGAGCGAGCTCCTATTACGGCCGGCAGGACACGCCACGGGGTGGGTGGCCAACACCACGCCCTGCCACCTTTGTCTCCCCAGTGCTGATGCTTACACGCCGCACCAGCTACCACTCATTTAAGGCTGAGTAGATCGAGACGATGCCCAGCACCGGTTCAGATATTCGCCGCCGATGTTGGCAGTGAGCGGGAATAGAATTCGGGTCACCTGGTTCATAGCGTAATGCGCTAACCACAAAATCACCGCTCCTCACTACATTGACAAAGATCCCCCCTACAGCCTTCACTGATCGTTGGGGCAAGTGCCGTTAGCGAGACGCAGCAGCAGCAGCGCCTATGAGGCCCAAGACGGTGGCACACGAGGGGTGGGTGGGTGGGTGGGTGGCCAGCACCACGCCGGGCCGCGTTGTCCACAAACACAGACGCAGCATCACCACCTGCCCTCTTGAGTCACCTGGGGGTGGACTAAGTCACTGAGTCACCTTGGGGTGGACTAAGTCACTGGGTCACCTGGGGGTGGACTGAGTCACTGGGTCACCTATGGGTGGACTAAGCCACTGGGTCACCTAGGGGTGGACTAAGCCACTGAGTCACCTTGGGGTGGACTAAGTCACTGTGTCACCAAGGGGTGGACTGAGCCACTGGGTCACTTGGGGGTGGACTAAGTCACTGGGTCACCTGGGGGTGGACTAAGCCACTGGGTCACCTAGGGGTGGACTGAGCCACTGGGTCGCCTGGGGGTGGACTAAGTCACTGGGTCACCTGGGGGTGGACTAAGTCACTGGGTCACCTAGGGGTGGACTGAGTCACTGGTTCACCTAAGGGTGGACTAAGTCACTGGGTCACCTAGGGGTGGACTGAGTCACCTAGGGGTGGACTAAGTCACCTAGGGGTGGACTAAGTCACTGGGTCACCTAGGGGTGGACTAAGTCACTGGGTCACCTGGGGGTGGACTAAGCCACTGGGTCACCTAGGGGTGGACTAAGTCACTGTGTCACCTAGGGGTGGACTGAGTCACTGTGTCACCTAGGGGTGGACTAAGTGACTTGGTCACCTGGGGGTGGACTAAGCCACTGGGTCACCTAGGGGTGGACTAAGTCACTGGGTCACCTAGGGGTGGACTAAGTGACTGGGTCACCTGGGGGTGGACTAATTCACTGGTGAATGTAACGAGGCAACATGAATCATCCGTGTAGGTCACCTGCGCAATCATTCACGAGGGTTTCAATGCTCGCATGTTTGACATTCTTACCGAAACACGACTCGGTTTTATCCCAAAACTTGTGCACGCAGGTAGAAGTTGCTGTCGCTCTGAGCATCACCTGGCAGTGACGAACACGCGTCGCCACGACCGCCGTCTCGACAGATTACCTGGTGGTGGTAGACCACCAAACTAATAATAGTTTAATACTCCCAAATACAACTGTCGGCAGTGGCAGCACACGCGTGCCAACAGGGACACTCAATTGACTTTGATAATGTTCAAGTCCTGTGCAAAACTCGTTACTACTGACCCAAACTAATTAGAGAATCTATCGACATTGAGGGAAATAAAAACATATTGTAACCGTTCGGATAGCTACAGGCCGAGTGCTGCTTTGAAGCGAATCATCAAGTAATCCCACTGCTGTTTAACTGCATGCTTATACAGGTGACCATACCTCGATGGTGATTAACTGCGAGCAGACAACCACAAACACTGCGATTTTCGTGCACACAAAAAAACGACAGGTTACCATTGTAATGTGTTCCCATTGTAATGTGTTCCCATTGTAATGTGTTCCCATTGTAATGGCTTCACCACGTAATGTATATACATTCACCAATCCCTTCCTCTCCCCCCGGCCTTCGCACCTGATTGGGTCAGAAGTGACGACGCCAGATCTCTCACTCTGTTTACCGAAACAGGAGGAGGATTTCTCCACGAATCTGGAATTTGTAATTACTGGCAAAACGTCGTACTCAGATTGTAAATGTTGTGGCTTGGCTTCTCCAACACACCGGTTAGTGCTGTACTAGTGACGAATTGGCACGTTCTGTTTACGTGACAACCCTTACTCGTTGGCTGTGTCGGGTGGTGGCGGGTTTAGCGACACATTTATATATTTACGCGATCGAACCCGAAAAACTCCTTTATAAAGGTGTCGAGAACGATACACGCGCGCGTGGTGCGTCTGGGGCTAAAGTGAGAGCTGGAAGGCAGCCGTCGAGCCTGCTCAGCTGAACACGTGGTGAGCTGTCGCGAACAATGTTATCCAGAAGAGGTTTTCGGGTTGGATCGTGCAAATGTACGCGATCCAGCCCAAACACCTCTCTGCTGTGGCGAGAGGCTGCTGCTGCTGTTGTTGACCCTGCAACTACCAGCCTCGTCGTGACTTTGCGTGCTGTTGTGTGACGAGGTTGTTGGGGGGCGCCTGCGTCGTCCCCCCAACAACCTCGTATTCATATTCTTGGTCACGTAGAAGAGAAATAATAAAATAATATTAATATAAAACAATAAAAATTCTCACGACGTTTCGACTGCAACACAAGCAATCGTCATCAGGTGTGAAATCCAGAGCAAGAAAATTAGAAAATCTGAAAATCACACCTGATGATGATTGCTTGTGTTGCAGTCGAAACGTCGTGAGAATTTTTATTGTTTTATATTTATATTATTTTATTATTTCCCTTCTACGTGACTTTACCGAAAAAACCAAGAATATGAATCCCTGCAGTCACGAAAGCTGTAAATCAAAACCTAGTATTCATCATAGAAACATAGATAAAGTTGTGCGCTTACCAACGTAATGGAACGTCTGTCTCTGCGACTTGTTGATTGTGACGGTGTCTGCGGGGAGAATGGGAAATTGTCGTCGTCGCAACACAAACGACAAAGTGGTGTCGGTGGGGGCCGAGTGGATTCTGGGAATGAACACCGAATCGCCTCGTTCTCTCTCTCTCTCTGAAGCATTCATCATATTCATCATAGACAGACAGAGAAAGTTGTTTATATATAAATATCATTCTACATCTGGAAGACTTCATTGAAAAGGACATTTCGTGTGAATTTTCTCTCGTCGTTAAGTAGATGTCCTTGCTGTGGGTTCGGTTCGATGCGGACGTTCACCCGGTTGGGATTGCGGGATCGAGACGAGGCGACACGGAGCTGCTGGCCGTGCGAGGAGACCGCCGCCGCCTGCAGGTCGATCCCAACGTGATCGATCGTCTGTCCCTGCGCCTCCGTCGTCCATGCAGGGGGCGCGGGGAGGTTTGCAGCGTCCCCTGCATGAAAACGACGGCAAGTGCAGCGTTCATCACATCACAGATAAAGTTGAGCGTTAATATTATAGAAAAAATACAGGTCATTGTGTCATTACAGGTTCCCTCGCTTTATGCGGTGGTAGTAGTGCAGTAGTAGTAGATGCGTTACGAAATAAGGGCGCGCAAAGCGAGGAGGCAGCTGCCTGCCGGGTAGTATACACAGTATACACAGTACATACAGTACACACAGTACGTACAGCACACACAGTACACACAGAACATACAGTA